CTGCAGGGGCAATTTTTGTGGAAGCGAAAGGAAAAAAGGAAGAAAAGGGAACGCAGTTGTCATGCAGGTTTTTTACATTGAAATTTTAATACAGCAATGACCTAACACTAACCAATTTTCTGAAAATAATCTTATTTTTTCAGGTGGGAACGGTTACCGTAGTACTGTAGTAAAGTTGCATTATGAATATATAACATATTACATATTATACATTATTATACACCATATAATATATAATATATAGTGAGCCATTTGATGCCAAAAATTGCAAACTTTGCCAGGTTGTTACTTGAAATGCCCATCTTTGCAGACTTATAGTTTAGCTCGTTCTAAATAGAATTTATTGCTTTTTTGATCAACAGATTTGCCATGTTCCATGTCATAAACTTTTAAATGCATATTTATTTTTCTTAATCCTTTTAAAAAGTCACATAAATACAATAAAAACAAAATTTCAAACAAACAAAAAAAAGAACAAAATTTTAAATTTCTTAAAAAAGATATATTTTGTGCAAAATTTTTTGCTTTTTTTTTTTGTTCTTTAACATAATTAAAAAAATAAATGTACATTTAAAAGTTCAGGACATGGCAGTTTAAAACAACCTAAATTACAAGTCCGCAAAGATAGGCATGTCAATTGGTAACCTGGCGAAGTTTGCAACCTTGAAGTTGTATAACTTGGCGGCGAATTCACTTTTCCAAATTTTTTTCGGCTTTTTCTACACTACCCTAGACTGTACTAATCAGCAAAATTTAAGAAATTTCTGAGATATATGTAATATATGCTGCCATATATAGTAATATATAATATAACTATCATAAGGACAGGGCAAAAAAATAAATTGGAGTTCACTGGTAGGCTGATATAACCAGTCAGTCCAGCCGTATGCCTACACAGTTTGTCAAAACTTCCCTCAACAAAAAGCAAATTTGCAAGAAAAAAAAGAGCTTAGCAAACCCCCCAATTAAATTTCATTTGTCTAAAAAACACATTTCGAGGAAATTTATATGCAAAAAACGAAAAAAAATTGTATGATCCAAACATCCTCAATTTTCAAAACAAAATCACAGAAAAAAGAGCCATTTAAAAATGAGTTTCAACTTCACATTTCGGCAATTATCTCGACAACGACGCT